GTATTGACTTTTATTATAGTCCCTGCCTTGAAATCCCTGGATATAGTACAGTATTAATTCTAATAATTTTTGTGCAGGATCCAGACAGGATATACTACACTTCAGCCAGCAAAATACGGCAAAACAAAAAAAAAGCGAGAAAAGGATGGAGAGGAGAGCCAGTTTCTGCAGAGGTGGGAGGTGAGACTGAGAAGTTAACGTGCCTCGTTTGCAAAGAAAAGAACTAAAGAATTCAGTTTATACAGTAATTACAAGATGAAACACTTAAGTTAAACATGATTATCTTGTTCATCAGCAAAAATGGGTGAACTATCAGTGAAAACCTCTTCATACGTATTCACAGCATACATTATATTATATATACTGTATACAGATGACAGGCAAGGCATTTACGATGTTTAGTTTAGTTTTTATTTTTAAATGCAGTTCTATATATTAACTATAAAAACCATATGTATGTTTGTGTCCAATGCTCAAGTGAAACTACACTGAAACAATAACTGGGACCAAGTGTATGTCCATTGTAAATTCAATAATCTTTTTCATGAATGCAAAACAGTGTGAATACAGCAATACAGTGTGAACACGGTTTCAAAGCAAGGCTACACATGCAAAGGGTCATAAATGTTCATATTTATGTTAAATTATATGGCCATTTACATTCATATTGGATGGACATTCACATTCAGGATAATGGGATCTTGATGGTGGAGGCAGCTGACATTTTAGAGTGTCCATTATAAAGAGGGATAAATAGACATGGCTATATTCTACGGCCGTATTCAGGGTGGAGAGTTTAGATGTCAAGAGGAGGATGATAGATGTTCACATTCAAAAAATCTATGCTTCAAAAGCTCTTAAAGCCTTAAAATGTTTTAATAGTATGTATAAAGAAAGGTTGCTTGATTTCCTGTTCACCAGCAGGCAATAAATACTCAATGGAGGTCTCACAAAAACAGAACACACACACACACACACACACACACACACACACACACACACACACACACACATATACATATATATATATGAAGTGTAGTATATCCTGTCTGGATCCTGCACAAAAATTATTAGAATTAATACTGTACTATAGCCAGGGATTTCAAGGCAGGGACTATAATAAAAGTCAATACTAAATACACAGCAAATGAATGAATGAATCCTGGATGTTGTGGGCCAGATCTTTTGTATACCTGACAGGTCTATGTGGTATTGGTATGCACAATATTGGTATGCAGCCCACCGCTTGTTGTCCAGAAACTGGTGTAACTGGTTCATGTTAAATGAAGAAGTATTTCACCATTTAAACATGTATACAATATGTTGTATTAAGAACTGTAGTTAATGAAAATAAAGTCAATAATCCTGTAATCCTGTGGTTGTGTGGAATATGTTACATTTCGATTATTTAATTATCTGTAAGTACTTGTTCATGTATGAAATGAACATTTTTTTTTGTAAACAAACAAGAAAGAAAATAAAAGTGAATTTGCCATTTCGTGTATGAAGCTTCCCCTCGCCTCACACACACACAAATCAGTAGCCTATCCACCAATTACAGAAGTAGATTATTATGGATAACATGCATATCTAATTTCTTACTTTTATTATAATTTTATATTTAGCCTAAAGATGATAAAGTTATTGACATTATCATTATTTGATGTGCTTTTTCATGAAATATATGCATGCTACAGGTCAGCACAAATGTCTTTCATTGGCGAGTGAGGAGGGGGATCTGCCAAATGAGGATATATATATATATATATATAAATATATATATATTTTTTTTTTCATTTTACCTGAAACAGACAAGAAGTCATCAACAGAAGTGATGTCATCAACGGCCTCGGTCAGGATGCGTACTTGCTTCTCCCACTGGTCCTTGAAAACATCCATGTTGTCCTGAGCAACCTTGCTTTGTGGGCGTGCGGCCAAGGTCAGAGCGGCATTGATTACCTGAGAGAAGGAACATGGTATGATTCTGAACCTTACCTAAATCTGAGCAAAACTACAAAAATAATTGTAGAGTCATGCTGCTGACAAATGGTATAAACACGAGTGAATCCAAGTCTTTTTTTTTTCTCTAACCATGTGCATATTTTCAAATCAAATTATGTAGTTGCACATTTTTGCTTTCCTTATACAACTATAAGCCTCAGAATACCTGCTGCTTTTACAACTTTGAGTCACATGACGATTCATAAAATCTTAGGTCTAAAATCCCTTGTGGATAAAGGTTACTAGAGTCAAATTTGCCTTTGCCAAACTCTCTAGTCCTTTACACTGCTGAGAGAAGACACAACTCACAATTACTTCCAGCGTTTTCTAGGGTAGCTACACTTGCAGGGGGTCACTTTATTTGAGTTAGAATGTGAGATCTGTTAGAAGGAATTGCTGTGATAATGTACTGGAATTATACTGGAACCTTTAATTCCAGTCCAACATTACACATAACCAATTTCCATGGCCAATTCAGATTACTTTCTGACACTTATTATGAAGAATTGATAAGTGCACATTACTCCAAAAAGATTTCTGAATGCCTCAACTTTGCTGAAGTCACCAAGATTTATTTTCCTCTTTTTTTTTTCATTTGTCTCTTCACTTTGGAGACAACTTTTCACAATTCAATCAATTCTCAATGGATAAAATCATTGCTCTACATTTCTCATAAACGCATAAAAAAAATAAATAAACAAAAAAAAAAAAAAAAAAAAAAAAAAAAAAAAAAAAATTGCCAATGCCATTTCATGCTGACATTTTGAATAGACCATACTATTCTTATACAATTCATAATACACATTCCCCCAAATTATTATCACTGTGCATGTTGTTTCTTAGAAAAATGGTGAAACGTTAACCAAGCCTTTTTATGTTTCAAATAGACTTTTCCTTTGACTGATTCCTCACATTTTTTTCTGAATGGGTTATGAACAGCTTTTCATGTTAACTTCGAATAGCTAAAAAAAATCTAATGTGAGTCATATTTTAATAAAAATGATGGGTCTGGATATGTGCCTGGCTATGCTCTTCTCCATCATTTGAGGAATAACTGCTGCCATCATCAATAAAAAATATACACCAGCATCTCTTCTAAAGGAAATTCTGTGCTTTCCGTGGCTGGTAATAGTGCAATGGTAGTTGCGGCAGGCAAATAGTGCTATATGGAATAAATAGTATTGCAAATAAGGTGCATTATAGTGAATAAGTGGCACAATGTGTTTAGTGAATTACTATTTGTCAGCACCATATAAAACTTCTGCAAGAGGTTATAGAAAACTGAATAGTGGATGGATAGCAAAGGTTCAGGCCATTTACCTGAGGACACAGGCTATCGATCTGTGTAGCAGCCATGCGCACTAACTTCACACCCTCCTCGTTGTTGGAGATGGAACAGGCGAGGTTGGCCACCTAAAAAAAAGAGTGAGAGAGAGATATATTAGGGGGTCATTTGTGCATCGAGGTTACAGTATAAAGTGACCTTGTGGTTCTGGTTGCCAGTTTTCTGTAAATCAGGCAGGTTAAACTAGCATTTGGACAGGGACAAATAAAGCTCCCGAGCTGAGTGCACACATATACAAACACACAGTCCGTTTTGCTGTTCATGTTTGAAGCTATCAGTGCTGTGTGCAATGGATAAGGATTTAATGCTTGGCTTGAGAAGGCAATGTCAGGGAAAAATATGTACGGAGAGTTAGGGCTCATTCAAGTGTTAGATTGGTATTTGTTATTTCCCAGCATGAAGAATATGATTTGTGGGTCCCTCATCCCCTATGCTCCCCGGCCCCAAATCATCTCGCCTTGCTCTCTCTTTTAATATTTTAAAAATAGCTTCTATTTGAATAATTGACATCACACACACTGTAATTTGAATTTTTACCAGCCAGTCTCCTGGACATATTAAAGGTTGCCTCTTCATGTTCTCCTCTGAAGCAACAGAAGGACAGTGGTTCGTTCGTGTGCGCCATAGAGGCTCCCATCTCGAAAACACAATTACCACGAAAATGTCAGTGGACACGGAGAGGGGTCCTAATTGGAGGTTGCCACAGTTCTGTTATTCACTCATAAAGTAGTCATTTTTCCATCTGAAATTTCCACCACAAGCACTTTGGTGGAATAACCAGGGTTCATTACTGAACTTCACATGCACATGTAAATCATTAGGCCAGTCTACCTAGGAAAAAAAAAAAAAAAAAAGAGAAAAAGTGTAATTAAACTAGCAGATGGCTCCTCTATGTGCAATACCTCCTTGTCTAATTTCTGCCTGCCTGCAACCATCAGGTTACCCATCATGCAGTGCATCTGGCAATGCCGGATCGGTGCATACATGTGAATACACGTGTGTGATGAGAAAAGGTCTCTCTCTCGTGTTTGCTTGCTTCCATCATAAGAAAAGCATCTGCGCAAGGAGCGCTGGCCAGATTGGATGCTAAAAACCTGGCTGCCTCCCCCTCCCCTGCTGCTAAAAATGTCGGATCTGACAGAAAACACCGGAATATTGCTCAGAAAGTTTATAATCTGGTGACACGTCAGACCTCGATGAAAGGCGCTAATAGACGTGTCAGTCCTGTTTTGATAACACTCCAGAATTGGTGTTCCAAGCATCTCATCCTCTGCTGGTAAATCAGATTACACAGCAGCCACGAGTAAGGATTTCGACGGCGCTAAACTGACATATGCCTGCTGGCAAATGCAATATGACTGAAGCAGTATCAGCGGGCATCTCTTCTTTTTTTTTTAAGGTAAATCGCGGCAAATCAAATCTGTGTTAGAAGATTCTTGCTTACAGCCCTTTTCTCCTTTTTACCCCTGACAGCTCTGAATGCTTTGATGGATCGCTCTTGCGTTTAAGTGTGTGCTTGCATGTGTGTGTGTGTTTAGCTGCTGCTAAAAGTGTAAAGACTGAAATGCTTGAGGGTTGCAAATGATGATGTGTGCACAAGAGTACCAGTGGGAAAAAAAAAAAAAAAAAGATTAATTGATGCCTCAAGCTTCTT